CCAAGACGTTGTCTATCCCACGAAAGATACCATAATCACTCAGACATAAGCTTGAACGTCTTCTCAAGTTTGCTAATAGATATTTAGTTACAGCCCGATAAACCCGTCCATAAAATTTATTTTAACTTTATCATGAGCATGTGGAAGGAATCCTTGCTATTTTGAGAGAGGGACTTTGGGAGAAATCCGGGAGATAATTCAAGGCCATTTGGTTCATAAGCACCAACTAACCCCTGAAAAGTTATCGTCGCTTAAGGTCTTAGTTATTATTCCACATAACAGTGAGAGGAAGAAGGACTTCGCTGCGGAACGGTTAGAAACTGTTGGACAAGGAAGCAAAACTCTCACGCATCTTGTTTACAAAAAATGAATAATCATTTTCTCCTTGAAAGTGTCTTCCTAAATTGGATTGGATATTCATTGATTGTTACTCAAATGCAAGAAAATGCTACAAAGCAACTCCACAAATTCTGTAATAAATCTCACTTTTGACGCGAAGCTGATAAAACATACTACTCGCGTGCCCCATCAGTAGTGTCCACCGTTATTCCAGTAATTCATCCAGTCAGTCGCGGTATGTCTTCAAAATATTGAATTAGGAAGTAAGATGATGCAACAGTAATTAGATAGTATTCCCTTCTGTTCGGACCACCTTATAACCCCTCAGGAGATTTGCGAATTCGGCAGATAATGTCAGATAAAATGAAGGTATCGTCACCAAATTTTAGCCTGAGTGTTTGCACACAGGCGAAAAATTCTTGACGGTAGGCAAAAGGTGCATATGCAGGTTTTCTCTAAGAAAACTATCGCAAAACAGAAGCCAATCTTAGAGTCGCTGCTACAGATTCGCAACCACCTACAACTAATCATGCAGTAATCTGAGTATACAGTCTACTTCAAAGGAGAGAACGCAATAAACAAGCCTCAACAACAAAAGGTTATATCGGCAGAGTCATTGGACGAACATATCTCGTTATGGTGGTGTCTCTGCCAAACAGCAGGCTCTCATGCCTCAGTCATGAGTGCGAACAATTCGACTTCTTAAACCTTGCATCAGCAAAAGCAATATACAATAAAATGACTCACAGCGACTTTGACAGGATTGAGTTGAATTTGTCGATCCGTTGCTTATTTTTGATACCCTCCTTGGAAGAAGCTGAAAGGCAATGTTAATGATATTAAACTTCATTGAATAACGGACTCAGGGTGATCACACGCAATTTGCTAGTTACCCCATTTCTCCAAATACAACAGTGGATAGAGCAAGGAGGTACGCTTAATACTCACCACCATACCCCATCAGAGGCCATCGAGCAAAAGAGACCGTTTTTGTTGAGGGTTCCAAGGTGCACTTTTCAGAGAAACAAGGGCGATAAAGTGTCAAGATGCTTTTTCACACGCATGTAACTAACAGCTCCAAATTAGGGTTAAGAATAAAAGTAGCCGTCCCTCAATTAAAATTCAATTTATCAGCTATAAACCGTGTCAAAGGCACATTGGTTCCGGTTGCTACATTTTCGGCCACCGGAAAAAGGAAAAGTGGAAAACAAGACCAAGCCTTGGAGGCGAAGTTACGCTCAGTTTGTTTGGAAATAAAGTAGCTACCTACACATTGAAGGCGATAGCTTTGATGCACGAGCTCCACTGACTGCCCGATTGGGCCATCTCCTCCAGTGTCATTAACCACTGGTGATTTAAGTTCTGGGGTCCCCATCCAGGGAGGCGGTGATTGCCCACCTGATTAAGGCTACTGGTTAGTGTTTTTGTACCTTGTTGCCAGGTCATGCACTGTTCACCTCTCGGTCGCTTCCACTCAGCACAGGGCTGGGGGGAAAGAGCTCTGTGAGGCAGACGGTCTTCTGGCATGCAGAGTACATGTCCCGACCGGCGCAACCTATGAAGCGTGAGTAATTCGTCCATCCCGAGAGAGCTCCTTCTCCCTAAAACCATCTTGTGGACCTCAGCATTACTAATCCGATGTTCTCACCGATGATCAAACAACTTCCCTATGTCTTCTGCGCTGAGAGACCACATCTCTGATCCATAGAGCAGTACGGATCGCAACACCGCAGTGTACACTCTTCCCTTGACAGACAAGCTCACGTCACGCAGGCGCCATAGGTGCCGGTGGTTGGCAGAAGCTGCCATCGGCCTTTCCGATTCTCCAGCCAGTCCATCAAAACTTATACAGCTGCCCAAGTAAACGAATTTATCTACCACGTTGATTGGCTCACCTGCAAGTATGAGGTGTTGGTTTGATCCCACCCAGTCCTGGAGCAGCACTTTACAATTTGCAGGTGTGACGCGCATGCCAAACCATGCGGCAGAGTTATTTAGGTTATTTAAAATCGTTTGCATTTGGGAAGGACCTGAACCAAGGAGAACAACATTGTCTGCATACTAAATGTCTGTGAGAGAACGTTCCGGGAGCATTTTGACACCCGAGGTTTAAGAGGCAGCAGTCCCGTGGAGTGTAAACTGAAGTCATGAACCAAAGATGTACACGGCTGACAGAATCGCCATGGCTTGATGAAGTTTCCTGTTCTATAGAGAAAAAACGAGGATAATGAACAGGCGTTTCGCTGAAGCCAAACTGACCTTCGTCCTACCTTCACTTGTTCTAGGCGCTTAGAAACCGAAATCAGAAAGCACCGGATTTTCAGTTAGTTCTTGGATTTGTGGCGGAAACGGACTTCGCTTACAGGGTAGAATATTGACGGGGGAATCTTTGGCTTAAAAATACAAATTGGATAACCCCTTCCTACCGACCTACAAATAGTATTGGCAGTTGTTGTGCTTGTGGCTTATCTAATGTTATCACAATAACTCTTTGAAAATACCTTTTTATCACGCAACCTTGGGCCAAATCTCCCATCGAATAGAGAAGTTTTCCCTTCTACTTTGCACTTTAATACGCCTTTCTAAATCCGCTGTGACTTTATTCTCTAAATTATCATTTTTCCGTGCATAACGTTCTTGAAATGACTTGATTTTTTACTCAAGCATTTTGGGGAACTACAAATACAAGTGGAAAATTTGAGGCCATATAACTCACTTTGTAGCATCCAAATGATTGGTATAGCCTTGGAGGTGCGAGCAATATTGGCTACCGTTTTGTAGAAGGCTAGATCAAGGAAACAGAACCGAGAAGTACAGGGAGTCATCGCTCGCTTCGTCGCTTAATGTTGCATCTGTGCGAATGCTCTTTTAATCAGGTACAAAACCCCAGTTGCCGTCTTTTTGAAACCTATCGATTTGCGTGCGCTCATCTCGGTCAGACCCCATAGTCTGTTCCGCGTTACGAAAGAACTAGGAAAATTTCAAGCGTTGGTGAAGACTGTTCAAAAGAATACCCTTTATGTCCAATTTCATCAAAGTTAGCTGAACATATTTCCTTCTCTGTGGCATTACCTGGCCTAAAATTACTGGCTAGCTGATCTTCATTTAGAATGCCTAGGAGAGCAAACAAGCCCACGTGTATTCAATTATAATTTCTACATTGGACCCTATGCCCGCGGCTGGTCGACAAGGAATAAAGAAGTGCTCTAGTGCGCAAATCTCGAAGAAATATTCTGGAGATACTAGGTGGCTTCCCCCCTGGAAGGTGGCTAAACAGAATCTGTGTTCTGTAGGTTGGATTCGGAACCGTGAAACAGCTTTGATGTTCGTAATATTATTTAACGACTCTCTATGAATTGGATGCCCCAGGTATTCAGTATTCCTGTAACTTTACGACTGCCAAAACTGCTTGACGTTCTCTAGCCCCCATCTTCTATAGCAATACAAATCACAAAGTTTTGTGCCAACTCACCCAAGCTCAAAGTAGGATTACAAACCGAAAATATGCTCTAATACACACCGTATAACTCACTAGAGATCGGATTATTTTGAGTCACTCCATTTTACGCTGCATTGCAGTCTTTTTGGCCCCATTGTATAACCATGCAGTGTCCTGACAAGTAGCGCTGTTTATGCTTGAGAAGTTAGTAAACAAGTTTTGGAACCAGAAGATGATTCTTGTTCGATAGTTTAAGGTCCCATGTTCCAACCAGCAACGTAAAGTCTTTCTTCACGACGAGGGTTTTCTTGCTTGGGTGAGGCCCATTTTAACTTAATGTCAGACCCTTGGATTGCAGTTTTGGTCAAGGTTATCCGAAAATACCACCGACTTAATTAAACACTTGCATAGTCCTACCCTCGCACTAAAATTTTTATGTGAATGAACTGTGGGGAAGCTTTGAACAAGAAACGGTCTTTTCTAAAGGTACAAGATGGAACTCACCTTCGTACCTGCTTTGATTGATTTGCTTTATCTCTTCTTCCTAGAACAGATAAAATACGTGATTACCAACAGAATATTCCGTGTAGGAACCAAGTGTATCCTCGAACGTTTCTCTGAATTCCGATCACCGTTTATCAGGGTAACAGTGTGGACAAATAAAGAAGCAGGAGTTTCTACATTCATACAAACCCTCAGTTTTGCTGTCCAAATTTCACAATGAAACATGATGTCATCAAACCGCTGACATACAGGACAATTACAAATGTGATTCTTTCCTTGGTCGAGAATTTCCATCCCCATTGGGGATCACCAGTCAGACGTAGAAGAATTGAGCACTTGACCGCTTGGTCAGTAATCCCAGCAGTTTTTCCCAGGAATGCGGACAAACTAAGTTGCAACCACAGTCAAACTTTCTTGTTGTTGACTAGTTTGGCCTTTGATGAGTGCCGCCTTCTAGACGAGGGGTGCAGTCGTTCGGCGGAAACGGCAAGTACCGGCAGACAGATTTTTAGGACCATCACGGATAAGTATGAATTCCTTTTTCAGAGTAATATTTTCATCAAGGAAACAGGCTGTTCGACCGCTGGAGGTGGGTCTTAAGACAAACAATTTAAATAGCATAAATTTATGCATTAACCCTCAAGTCCAGATCGCCAGTAAAATCAAAGCTGATGCTACAGTGAAAACACTAGAGTTGGGCTCCCCCAGAATTTACTTGAGTGAGTCTCGTTGACGGTTTCTCAAAACTAAACGATACAGCAAGCGAACAGCTGCAATAGCAGTGGCTATAAAAATATAAACATGTATTAGGTAAAAATGACACTTAGGAATATTTATAAATGTCCATGAATTTATCAGAAACTTGAATGGTAGTCCTGGAATACAGCAGCCCCAAATTTGACAACGATCGTCAGGAGACCTACCTTTCCCAAAGACACGATGACCAGAGAGGGCACATTCTGCATGCACGCCGTTTTCGTAGCGGCGAAATTTCCGGTCTTCCGAGCGACCGCCCGCCTGTGTGTCCACTGTCTTAGTAGGGATAAAACTTCGTCGGTCATTCGCATGTGATGAAAAAAACACTGAAATTTGTAAAAGTTTGGAAATTTCAGCGCTGCATGCATTCATTTTATAAAGCGTCAATGGACAACCAATACCAGAGGGAGAGTTCATAGTCATGTGTCTGGCAGTAGTACTTATGACCGCAAAGTTACTTACGAGCAGATTTTCATGAATCAGCAACATTTGGGGTAAAACAGTTCTAAACTGAGAACCGTCATATTTATGAAAACCAAACAGCCCTTCTCCGGAGTTGTGGAACGACCACAGAGTCGTCAGTGTTTCTCCTATTTGAAAGTGTTCCTATGGAAAGCCATCAACTTTATACAAAAAATGCATGTGAATGAAACAGCTGATGGTTTTTAATTAAAGTTGAGCTCCGTAACAAAAACGGAGCAGTCCTCCCTGAATCCAGTGCCAGTTAGAAAATTCCCACCACCTTGGATGAATCACCTGAGTTCATCCTGAGCATGCCTTATTTCTCGATCGGTTCAGGGGAAATTTTTCCGTAACAGTTATGGTGACCGTGTGCTGAAATTTGTCCTAATAAAATAAAGTAGCCGTGTAAAGAAACGCTTAGTTATGGGTCGAATTCGGTGAATCTCAACGGCTTATTTCAAAATTAGTGTGTGAAACTCTTAGTGTGATTTTCATGTTTTCATGAAGAGAACTATTCACAAGATTGCTGAAAACTCTTCAACAACCCACGACCGGTTTCACCCTTCTTAAAACTCATCAGGTAGGCGCAGTCCCCGAGTTTTCTTCAACCTTATGTTCTACTTGAACCCAGATTGGACTGTTTTTCGAGAAATACACTCATTTGTAAATCAATTTTACGAGGGACTCAACTCAGCAACCTTGTGAGTAGTTTCCTTCATGAAAATATACTGCGATATCTCGAATATCGTACCAACTGAAACATGAGGCGGCCTGTGTGCAGCACATTCAGTTGTAGAACATCATAAACGAGAGATTCAGTTAAGCCCCTCATGAAAACCTAATTGATTCGCAAACGAGTGTATTTCTTAGTGTGATTCTTCGTTGCATCCTAGTGCGTTAGAATGAGGAGACATCCAACAACCGTTGTTCTCTTACCAAAGCTAGTCAATATTGACATCGTTGGTCATGGGTGAACCAGTCGTTCCACGCAAGATTTGGGTGCTTTCAGCTGTTGAAGGAGCGGCAAAAAGGCCGCCTCCATATATCAGAATACAGAGATTCCAAATCTCGACGCGACGAGAGGTATACACTGCTGACCAGTTCAGAATCTTAATCCTTTGGTGCAAACTCACGGTATTAATTTCCTCAGGAAAGCGGGGTCGCGCTCAGTTAGAGTGATGTGAATACAAACTGTAGATATCTCGCAAGCAAGTACAAGCAAAGATTAATGGAAAACAATTGCCAATTCAATTGGCGTTCCAAACTGGCGATAATCTCAAGCATCAAACATTTTGACTCGGCCTGGGAAGACCATTCCAAGTTAAGCTTGAAGCGTTTCTGTTAAAAAAGATGGAAATAAAAAACAAATCAATGATTTCTTCTCGCTGTTAGCGACTTTCCGCCAGATGGATGAAAGTGAGCAGCAGAGAATTTGAAGGCGGTTGAAAAC